AACAGCCTAGACCCTGAGGAGGTCCTTTCCCAGTTTAAACAGGTAGAACTCAGGAGGGGAAAGGGTCACCTCATCTAAAGGAGAGCCAGGCAGGACCAGAAAAAGAAAAAGAAAAGCATTCAGGTGTCTGTGATTTTGGGAAAAAGATTTCACTGAAAGACATATTTTGGGAGGTAGCAATTCGGGAGTAGAAAGTAAGAATACAATTACTGTAATAGTAAGTTTTCCATAATATTATCTATAGACCAGGTAAACCCTAAGTATACTTGGACTTCCTTAACTAATTTAGCTTTCACAAGGGTCAGATGAAGTCACTCTACTGTCACTATACTGTAGAGCTAAGGGATCACAGATATGATCAGACAGACTTGCTACAATCACACACAGAATGAATGGACTTTCCAACAAGTCACCCTCAAGAAGAAAAGGTTTCAAAAAGTTATTCCATATGTCTATCCGGGACCCTGCTAGTGACCTGAACAACATATGCGCGAGTGTGCGTGTGTGCTCACGCACACATACACACACACACACACACACACAAAAAAAACAGGTCATTGATTACAATTTAAAAAGAAGAGATACACACTGGTTTCAATAAAAATCTCCTAAATAACAATAGCATATAGGAAACAAAATTTCACTGAGCAACAACATGGTTTGCTTTTTCACAGGGATCGGTGCAAACACTCAACCCTTGCTGCTATATGTTAGAAAGTCCATTCAGAGATGGAAAAAAAATTAACATAGAGATGTGTGCTGGACCTCCCACAGGAATTAATATGTGGCTTTAATGAAGAGAGAGAACTTAGGACACCTGAGCCTGACTGTTGGCGAGAGTAGCTGTCTGCCACTAAAACCGCCACTGCTTCATAGAACTAAGTCAGGTTCATAATACACACAAGCATGCCTTAGCAAAGGGACTGGGACTAGCAGTATTCGAGATTTAGATATTTTTTTAAAGATTTATTTTTATCTTTATTGGAAAGGCGGATATACAGAGAGGAGAGATAGAGAGGAAGATCTTCCATCCAATGATTCACTCCCCAAGTGAGCGCAACGGCCGATGCTATGCCAATCTGAAGCCAGGAGCCTCTTCCGGGTCTCCCACGCGGGTGCAGGGTCCCAAAGCCTTGGGCCGTCCTCGACTGCTTTCCCAGGCCACAGGCAGGGAACTGGATGGGAAGTGGGGCCGCCAGAATTAGAACCGGCACCCATATGGGATCCAGGGTGTGCACCATCGCACCGGGCCCGGGATTTGGATTTTTAAAAATGTTAGAATATTTACACAGACTTTGCCATGTAAGTGTTATTCATCCCAAAATACAAAATGCATTGGGTCTGAGTACTCAAAAAGTTCAGATCTGTGAGAATTACAGATTATAGAAGCTCAACCAATACTCAGGAATAGTTATTGAATGCATAAACTAGAAAGAATAAAACAGGAACATACAAAGTGTGTGGAAGGTTCTAGAGCCTTGGGATGTAGAATTAATGCTTAGCTTCAGAAAGCTGATTTGTGGCAACCAGAGGGAGGCACAACTATCGTACTAGGAGTCTAATCATAACCTCGCAGCTTTCCCAGGGGCATTAACAGGCAGCAGCGGGAACCTGGCGTTGCACGTGTAGCTTAATGTGCGAAACCACAACACAGACACTGCCTTTCCCCATCACAAAGAAGTGGGGAATTTAACTTACTAGAGAAGGAAGCAATGCAGAGCTTTGGAGCTGTCTGAAACAGGCCAAGGAAGGACACCAGCAGGGAGGAAGAGACCATGCTACATTCTCCTGAACTGAGCCAGCCTAAGCAACCCTGCTCCTCATGAGGGCTTCCTTACCACCTTCAGAATGTCGCCTGCATTGACTCTCTAACTGACTTGTGATTAATATCTCCTCCCAGAAACTTCCCACTGAAAATAAAGCTATCATGTTTTCACTTTCTGATCTCAAAACACTCTAATCTTACATTTTAAGATTCACATATACATTTATACACATATTTCTTTTTTAATTAGAAAGGCAGGCATACAGAGAGGAGGCGAGACAAGGACCAAGATCTTCCATCCACTGGTTCACTCCCCAAGTGGCTGCAACAGCTGGGTTGAGCTGAACCAAAGCCAGGAACCAGGAGCTTCTTTGGGGTGTGCCATATGGGTGCGGGGTCCCAAGGCCTGGGCCAACCTTCAGTGCTTTCCCAGGCCACTAGCAGGAAGCAGAGTAGGAAGTAGAGCAGCCAGTCCATGAACCAGCATCCATATGGATCCCGCAGGATGCAAGGTGAAGATTTAGCCACTAGGCTTTTGCACTAGGCCCCAAACACTCAAACCTTTCCTACAAGAAAGGAAGTCAAGCAATTCCTGCTCTGACAACTTAATCCAAATTCTCCCTAATGATCCTTTCGTTATGTAGAAATTAATTCAGGGCTGGGTGGTGTGGCCTAGCAGCTAAAGTCCTGGCCTTGAACACACCAGGATCCCATATGGGTGCAGGTTCTAACCCCAGCAGCTCCACTTCCCATTCAGCTCCCTGCTTGTGGCCTGGGAAAGCAGTTGAGGACGGCCCAAAGCCTTGGGACCCTACACCCACGTGGGAGACCTGGAAGAGGTTCCTGGTTCCCAGCTTCGGATCAGTGCAATACTGGCCCAACTGTCACTTGGGGAGTGAATCACTGGACGGGAGATCTTCCTCTCTGTCTCTCCTCCTCTCTATATATGACTTTCTAATAAAAATAAATCTTAAAAAAAAAAAAAAAGAAATTAATTCAGAGAGAGAGGGAGAAAGGCAGAACTCCCCTCTATTAATTCACTCTAAATTCTTATATTAGCCTGGGTTGGACCAGGCTAAACCCAGATCAATCCAAATCTCCCATGTGGGTCCTTGAGCCATCACTTCCGCTGCCAGGGTGGGTCTCGGCAAGAAGCTGGACACAGGAATGGAGCTGGATTAGAACCCAGGTACTCTGATACTAGATGCACACATATAACTGCTAGGCCAAATGATCACCTCTAAACCAGATCTCAAATCCTAGGCATACTGTACCTTCTTTATATGTAGTAGCTTCGTTTTTCATGAGTTCTCAGCAGAGATGTAACCTAGTCTCCAAAAATACCTGCATATAGTACTTCGCCATTGAATCGGCGGGTAACTCTCTACTGCTTCCCCCCGAGCAAGCGACACAGGACACACACTAGGATTCCACTTGGAGAGCCATCTTTTCTCTAACAAAACCTCTCGGTTGAAAATGAAGCAATTTAAATTTAGAAGGTAAAAGACTGAAATCTGTGCCACTGAAATATTGCATGCCCCAAACTCAGCTATTCCAGCATTAAGCCAACGTGCCTGCTCCAGACCTGGAGGTTTTTCCACCTCTAAGTCATCACCAAAAACGTTCAAGCTAAAGCATTATCAGCAGAGCCTGTGTTACCTTCTCTCATGTAACGCCTGATTCCTGCAATGTTTTTTCAAGAAAATTTGCTTGGAAACCCAACTTACTCTTCCCTTATCATCCCTAGTCTTCCAAGTAACCCTTACACTGTATTGTATTTCACTGGCACAGAGCCAAGGTTGTAAGAATTACCGTGAATTGCTCACATGCTCAACTATCCAGGTATGTTTGTTCCTTAAATATTAGATATACTGAATGCCTCAACTATCCACGTATGTTCACTGTTTAAATACTAGATAAACTGAATGTCTAATCAATGACTCACTGGTTTCCTATCTCCAATAGGGGTTTGATAAGTTTGTGCCTAGCCTAATAATGAAACAGTATAAATCATATTTAAAACCAAAAGGATTCTCAAAGCATGTAATTTGATTCTGTAGGTTTTTGGGTATATTTATCCATAAGTAATAGTACTGTCCCTGGGGAGTAAAATCCCCAAACAGCATTATTAAAATTCAACCTCACAGAACAGCACTAAAAATGTTTTGGTCTTTTTAAAACAATTGTTATTGCTATATACTAATTTTCACATTTTATGATTTTTGGAACTATAATGACAAATTAAATGCCTGAAAGAACAAAAGCATAATGTCTGATTCTGAGTTTCTTATATTTTCATGATTCAAAGTGACAGAAGCAAACCTGTCCTAGACACATGCTCTGAAAACAGTCCCACGGAAGACCAGCCACTGTAAGAGTAAGAGGATATCAATACTAGGAAGATGGCATGAAGTGGTACTTCATCAAGCAAAGATGGGTTACAGTTAGATGATCTTAGAGGAGAAGAAAAAAAAGGAAAATGAAACAGATTAAGGTCAATACTGCAAAGTGACTAAAGAAATGGAACAAAACTTTCTTCTAAGTCATTAACCTCATTGATATTATAGCAAACTCCAGAGCGCTCACCATTTTCCTGTTTATTATAGATACTAATAGGTTCACTGATTTGACCAATTTCTTTGTTAATCTATTTACATGGGTTAAGACCTAGAATGACATAAAACACAACCACATGATGGCAGAGAGAGGGAGTGGAATGAAAGACTGAGCGATGTATAGTCTGGGGTACAGCCTATCCAATAAAAGTGCCAGGTCAGCAAAGAACTCATTGGAAAAGATTTATTATCATATTATCATGACAAATGCATTCTCAAAAAATGGAATAAAATAAAACTCGTAGTATTAATACCTACCAATTTAAAACACAATAATTACCTCTGCATGGTTTATCATTCGATCAATAAATTAAAATTCTATTTATATGTTTTTGATTCAAGAACAAAAGTTTTATACAAGTAAAACCAACATGTTGAGTATACAGAATGTCCAGGAGAGTGTGACTCTTTAAGCCATACAAAAGAAAATAAAAATCTGCTTTCTGCAGCTCTTAAACATGTAAGAAAAGGAAAGCATTCTTAGGAAATACATTTTCAAGAGAAAAAGGTAAAAATTAATTACCCACTAGAATTAGTATTATTTTTAATTACAAGCAACATTAATATCAAGTTAGTAAGGCTACCAGACAGAAAAAAGAACAAAAAAAAATCTGTTATACCTCCAAGTTCTTTTACATTCAAGATGGCATTCTGGAATGGCACTGCTTTGATGCAAAAACCTAAAATCAGACAAAAATATTACAAGGAATTAGCAACTTGATTTCTAAATGAAAATACTTAAGATGTTCAAAAACTTTATATTCAGTTTAAGAGTCACTTTTCTTGGCTCACATTTACACTAGAAACAGATGTTTTCCAAAATATACCAATGACACAATATATCTTCACCCAGTCCTCAAAGTATGGATGTATAATAACAGAACATAAATTCTACCCCTTTTTACTTCAAAGTATCTCCTTATTCTCTAATATGCAATATCACCAAGCAATTTGTACCAATTTTCAGAAAGACACTGGAAAAACAGCAAACTTTGCTTCTAATCTCATCAAGCCTAGAGATTAAGAGTTGCCTTATATGATAATTACATATTTATACTGTATTTTCTTTTAAAAAGAGAGGGTCAGCACAATACACATTTTTCTTTAAAAGAAAAAAACAGAATCATGCAGCCACACAATCACTTGGTAAGGCATGTAATAGAAGGTCTATATTATAAAAATATAGTCAGAACATATATTATTGATGACTATTCACTAGTACCATTCCAGAGATTCAGGTGTTACACAGGGGAGTATACACACAGCTATATACACACATAGGTGTGCAAATACATGCAGTGAAGATCTTTGTAAAGATCCTCGAGCAGCTGGAGCCAGTAAAGATGCTAGAGACCCCCGGGAGCAGGGAGCCTCAACATGGGAGAGGTTTGCAGGTTATTTGCATGCTTTGCCACATATTTGTGCTTCTTTTCCAATTAAAAGCCCTTCTCATTATTAAACCCTAATCTATTAGTACTTATTGAACATTCATTCCCTGTAAGGTCTTAAGCATTATTTACAATGTACAAATGCAAGAGGAGTAAAATATATATATATATATATATATATATATATATATATGATCCTTTTGGCAAGAATTATCAGCATAGTAAGCACAACATGCCTATTTTTCAGTGGAGTAAGTTATGGTCAGTGCTTGGAAAGACGGAAAAATTCCTAGGGTGCGATGTGGACACACAGCTGGGTCCTGCTTTACGAGTAAAGAAATCAGTGTGCCTATGCTGACTAGCTTGTTTTTTGCATCCCCTTGTTGTGTGGCATCCCCAGTATTCTGCTTTAATAGTGCGTACACCATGCTTCACGTAAGACAATATTATAAACTGAAGAACTGACTTTGGAATCAGACAGAGGCAGGCTTGAATTTTGTCACCTATAAGCCCTGTGACTGTGGGAAATCTACCATCCTTGGCTTCCCATATGAAAAATGAGGATGCAAATCTCTCCACCACAGAGCTACTATAAGGATAAGATAAGGTATACAGTAGGTTTACCACAATGCCTGGTACGTATTATGCAGACAGTATGCGATTGCTGACATTATGTTGTAACCGATGCTTGTATACTAGCAATTTAATCATTAGGCACTCATTATGTTCTGCCTGCCTGAATAATAATAGACTGGTAAGACAGAAATTCTAGGTGTTCATTTACTTATCTAAATACTTGGTTGGAACTGTGAAAGTTTCCACTGAGAACTGAAAAGTAGCTGTGTTGCAGAGATGGAGGTGTCAGCCACTGAAATTCACCGCAAAGTGTCTGCTAAGTTCTCAGGGACCCTTTCCAACCATGCCCTTCCTTTGGGGATTCACGGTGGACAGCCATAGTGAGGACACAGCATTACAGCATTACATAAAGTCACTGAATCTGAGTAACAAAACAGAAAGAATACAGAGGAAGTCCCACATAGCAGAAACATTCTGGCTTGTACCTGGGCCTGCAGCAAAGCTTCTCCAGGTGTTTGGCCTCTGGGAAATTACATCCCTGCCAATCACAATACGCTTGCTGGCACCCAAAATTCCCTGTAAGAGAGAAACTACCAACCCTCACATGGATGATAGATTAAAAGGCAGCGATTGTGAAATTCTGACAAGGAAAAGCCCTCTGCAGATACTAAACAGTCTATTATTAGTGGTTATGGCCAGAAATTCAAGGATTGCTTTTCCAGAAAATAGGACAGGGCCCAGCTTTGAAAAAGAAGCAATTATGTAGTATACCACCATTGTTCAATCTGTTTTAATTCTTAAAAATTGACAATAGGGTGCTAGCTCAGAGGCACAGTAGACTAATCCTCATGCCAGAATCCCTTATGGATGCCAGCTCAAGTCCCAGCTACCCTAATTCCTAATCCAACTCTCAGCTTATGACCTGTGAAAGAAGTGGAGGGTTTCTGAAGTCCCTGACCCCTTGCATTCATATAAGAGACTTGATAGAAGCCCCAGGCTCCTGGCTTAGGATCCCCAGGCTCCTGGCTTAGGATAAGCTCACCTCTGCCTATTGCAGCCATTTGGGGAGTGAATCACTGGACGCAAAATACATGTGTATGTGTGTGTGCATCTCTTCCTCTTAATAAAGAAAGCTTTAAAAACTGACAAGAAGCAGAAACTTAAAGAGAAAAATAATACCCTTCCAGAAATTGTTACATCCATATGCAAAATTTAACTTACAAAATGTATTAACAGGCAGATTATATCAATGTTACTGTCTTTAAGTCTGCAGTCTTTCTAATAAATTAACTAAAAAATTCCCTCCAACATTCACACTAAGCAAAGTGACCTACTGATATTATTTATAGGCATATAAATGTTTCTGCAGGATACTCATAAATGTTTTCTCCCCAAATAGAACATGCATGGCTGGATTTATACAGTAAAGGCATACACAATCTTTGACATTGCAGTCTCTACATTATTTTTAGAGTATAACTCACATAATTAATGTTCAAAGCATAAATGCTCAATAGCAAACCAAGAATATAAGAAAACTTACTGTTTATGGAATGAGAACTATATTTTTCTATTTTAATCATTCCAAACATTTTCAAGGATTAAATAGTCCTAAAAATTTAAAACTACACTTTTGGTTCAGTAAAAGGTCGGCCAAGAAGGGTGACTTTGAGACTATATTTTACTCTTTAACATTGGGCTACATAAGGTCAACCTAGCACGGGGGTAAAAGGAATTAATATAATATTGATGTGGATAAAAAGGTTGAATCATTAAAACCCTTTTCTTAAACGGTTGCACTGAAAAATAAAAACTACCACATAGCATGGGCCACAATATTTAGCTTCAAGTTCTGATTTTAACATTTTTCCATTTGATCCAAGCAAGGTATATGGGTAATTTTTAAAGTTTAGAGGAAAGAACTGGATTAAAACCAGCTTATCTGGGATAGGTGTTTGGTGAAGGGCTTAGAATGCCCCTCAACACACCTGCCTTCCTTACCAGAGTGTTTGGTCTCACCTCTGACTCCAATTCTAGCCTACTGTTAATGCATACTCTAGAAGTTCAAGTACCAAGGTCCCTACCAACCACATAGGAAGCACAGAGTGAGTTTGGGGTTTTGTCTCCGGATTCGACTGCAAGGGATCATAATGCAGAAGCACAGTATGATAGGTCCTAAACACCAGTGTTTGGCACAAATTAGGATCTGAATATTATTTGGGTCAGGATTTATATCTACTACATAGCTGAGCTCTTAGAACAATCCCAATGCCAGTCATACTATCCCAGGAAGAAAATCAAGCCAACAGGAGTCAAGTACTTGGCCAAAGGTACTAAAATTCTATAGTTAGAACTTGAACCCAGTTCTCATCACAAAACTGATGGTATCTCACCTCCCTCACATGTCACCTTACAAATTCAGACTATTCTGTACAGTTCTAATCCTAAAAACCAGCAGTCCTGACTGCCCAATTGCAATCATGTCTAATAAGCCCACTTTTTATATAAAAAGCCTTCCTTTTCATATAAATAGTTCAACAGAGGAGCCCACATGACATTGTTTACTAATAAAATAAGAGCAAAAATTTATATAGTACATTTTATATGTCTTATTTTAAAAGTAAGGAACTTAGGAGGAGAGGGGAAATGTCTAATCAACTGAGCCAATACTCTTGGAGGGTCTCTGTAGCGGCTCAGTGTGTTGGTGTGACCAGGCCCTGCCTTCATGTCCTAACCACAGCCTTTAGCCTTGTCAGCCATAGTTCTGTCTCATCCTGGCCTGGAATTCCTCCTAAGCGAAATGAGTGAACTCTAGTTTCCTCTAAAATTAGGATTCCATTATTCATATTAAATAAGAACAAGGAAATAACAGTAACCACTGGGTTGATCATCAATGGCCTCTGGAATTTGGCTGGAGGCCTCCTGGGTTGGTGTCCCCAGGCTCCATTCAAATAATTGGATGGCTGAAGCGTAAGTTAGAGAGTCATTTTTTCCTGGCCTATCTAAGCTACATTAGTAAGACTAAAACCTCCCCTAAGATTTAACCCCACAAATTTTTAATAAATATATGACTTAGTAACTCTCTGGGGAAATAATTGTTTGTATAGCCTTTCAGTCTTTGTTTTGCAATCCTTAAATTCAGCAAAACCTGTGATGGAGATGGATTTGAAGTTTTTCATGTAGAGAAAGTATTCCTGGAATTGTAACAAAATTAGTTTTGGGAAGAAGGTTAGTCTATTTTTATTCATCATGTGGAACACAAATGTTTAACCTGGGTCTACAAACAGAATCCTCTGTCCCCCTTAGTCTGCAGGCACACACACAGTTTCATCGCTGATTGTGCTTCTGAAATCCCTGGGTCACCACAAGAAGTGACCAGGGGAAGGACATTCCAAGGACCTGATGTCCTTGACCTAGAACAAAGGCATGATTTATGCCATGACTGTTTTGTGATATTTGGATGAAAGTCTAGTAAAATTCTCCTAAATATGATTTCAACATCATAATAGGAAATTTAATCTACTGGCATTTATACAACAGAATCTTTTAGCGGATACCAAAATATGACTTACTAAGTTGTTTCTCAGGGGACCTGATTACATATGCAATAAACATTAAATTATTTAAATGATTCTTTCAAATTTTTATAAAGATTTTCTATATTTCTTTCAAGTTTTATCACTTGAGATTTTTTTTTCAAGCACAAATAACAATTA